TAAATAAATAAATATTAAAAAAATGTAATGTAGGGCTGGAGAGATGGCTCAGAGGTTAAGAGCACTGCTGCTCTTCCAGAGGTCCTGAGTTCAGTTCCCAGCAACCACATGGTGGCTCACACCCATCTGTAGTGAGATCTGGCGCCCTTTTCTGGCGTGCAAGCATACATGGAGGCAGAATGTTGTATACATAATAAATAAATAATAAATCTTTAAAAAATGTAATGTATAATTAAAAATTACAGACTAATAGTCATTTATAATATTCACACTTATAATCATGCTAGTTAGGTTTTCTAGATGTGCAGAGATATATTTCAGATGGATAGGTATTCTTCAAATCTTTCAAAGATGCACAAAATATGGCATTTAAAAATGCTTTAAGAACTTAGACTTTTCTCAGCATTTTTGCTTCTGGCAGCATCAATTACTTCAGAGAGGTTGATGGACATTAAAGAAACTCGTTATGGAATTTACCTTCAGTGTGACAAAGCTAGCCATTTGGGTAAGAAACTGTTCTTGCCTGGACTACTTGATGGTATGCTGTATGAACTGGACATGCAGGATCCACAGAAAAATGAGTGCTGAACTTTTCAAAAGACGAGATGGTCCCTCAGGGTTCCTGACTCACAGAAGAAACTGCCAGACATTCTTCAGGACACAGAAGAAAGCAGCTGATTACAAGGCAGAACAGGTCTTCAAATTTCCTGCTTCATGGAAAAGTCTGCTGGATACTATGGGCCTATAGGCTCAGGGTGGATGCCTCAATGTTAGAAAAGAACTTGGGTAACTGTCCAGGAAGTGAGATGTATTTGCCAATTTTAGAGTTTTGGAAGTTGCTTACAATGCACTTTCTGTGTAATATTACTTAGGTAATATTATATCCTTCTGGGGTCTTTGAAGAATTGAAGACAGATACTTATAGTTATGGATACATTTCCTTAGTTATAGTAAAGGATAAATTAAATATAAAGCTTTAGCCTCACAAAGATAGGATCGGTGATAGAGTATTTTCCTTATGTTGCCAAATGTAAATGGACTAAATACTGTTATTATAATTCTTGCTTGAGAACATTTTGTATTTGTAATTTTATTTTTGTTAAAGTTAAAACCTGCCTTTTTAATTAGACAGAAAAAGGGAAAATGATGTGGGATGTCCTTTCTGTATATGTGTTGCTTTATTGGTTAATGAATAAAGTTGCTTCAGCCTATGGCAGGGCAGAATAAAGCCAGGCAAAAATCTGAACAGAGATATAGAGAGAGAATAGGTGAAGTCAGGAAGACGCCATGACTGCTGAAGGAGAAGGATGTGCAGAAACCTTACCTGGTAAACCACAGCCTCATGGCGATACACAGAATGGTAGAAATGGGTTATTTTCTACAGAGCAACTCTGTCTTAAAAAAAAAAAGGGGGGGGAGTTATTTTAAGGTATAAGAGCTAGCCAATAAGAAGCCTGAGCTAACAGACCAAGCAGTGTTGCAATTAATATAATTTCTGTGTCATTATTTGGGTCTGGTGGCCAGGAAACGAACGAACAGTCTCACACTGAATGGTGCACTTTGCGCAGCTCTGTGTAAGTGGTTGAAAATTTCAGAACCGAAGCAGGGGCAGTGGGGGCTAAAGTGCTCAGCGGTCTCTTTGGGAATACTTCTAAGTAAGTGCTGGATGTGTTTTAACATCGCCCAGGTAGTAAAGTGGACACCAAACCACATATCTAATTGTGGCCTCCTTTGGCACAGTCTGTGAACCAAGAGTTGCCTTTTTTTCCTGTTGTGTGGGGTTTGTTGTTGTTTGAGACAGTCTCATTGTGGATCCCAGGCTGGCAGAGAACTCAGGAAATATTTACTTTCTGACTTTTTGCAGAAGGCTGCCTGGCATCTGTGTTTCTCTATGAACATCTTGCATATCAGTTAATAACACTTTGATTCCCTGCCTTTACTGCTGGTCTCAGAATCAAGAGTTAAAAACATGACCCAAAACTTCCACAGGGCGACCGGTACAATCTCGCCTGGTCTCACCTAGTCTGGCTTGTTTCCTAGGGTTCTGTTTTCCTGGGACAGGGATTTTTTTTTTTAAAGTCTCTATGGGAAGGAAGCAGAGGAATGGTGGGTTAAGCTTTTTCTTCTTTCACGCAGTGTGAAGCGTGTGTAGTTTCTCTTATCATAGAGAAATCATTAACTTGGGATCTATTTTGCATTATCAGTGAGCCAGATGAAGGAGGGATGCACCTGGATGTTTCCATAACGCCCACCTCACTTTTGATGCGAACGCCTGATGGCTGCAGCGAGACCCAGCTTCCAGCAGAGGTCAGGCTTGTACCGTCCTCGTGCGGCGGGCTGCAGTATATCAGCGGAGATGGCCTGCACCTTCGTCTGCAGGCCCGCACTGAATCCAGCCCTCGTGAGTAGAAGCCGCAGCCCTGATGGATGGTGGTATTTATTAAGTTGAAGTTTTCCCAGGTGAAAAAGATTGGCAATCAATGACCTGGAAGGGCTATTGATCGAGAAGTTTCGGGGTCCTGATCCACTGCCAGTTAACCAGCTGTGTGATGTGGAACAAGTCATTTAACGTTTCCGAACCTTCACTTCTTATAGTATACGTTTAATAATACACTTTAATTTTTATAGCATCTCCAATCTCTTGGCAAATTTGAGCAGAAGGTACAAATATTTCCCCCAAACCGCCCATTTTATTTCTTTAATCATAAATGCCCGGCTCACGAATGTGAGGATAAAACCATAAAGCAAGTATCTAAGACCTGGTTTGTTTTAAGACATCGCATAGCTATGTATTCGTTCAGCAGGCAGGTGTGCTCCAACTTGGTGTGAGCCGTTCCATGTGGATGCCGGGAACACAGAGGCCAACAAGCCACCAAGTCCTCTGTGGTTGTGGAGTGTCTATTCTAATGGGTGGGATGCTGACGACATAATTAAACTGCATACAGCAAAACGCTGTGGGTAAAGAAGTGGAATAATGCCACAGGGAGTAATGAGTTTCGGGAGGGCTACCTGAGGGTGAGATACGTTACCAGAGAACTGAGCCGTGGAGATTATCCCCTCCGTGCAGAGACCATTCTAGTTGGGGTAATGCCTGAGGAGGACCCAGAGTGGCGTGGGAGGCTGTTGTCATCTCAGTGGCTGCAATTGCAGGGTTTGTGATTGTATACAAACTCAAAATGTATATCAATACAGCTAGGTGTTAAAAAAAAAAAAACCACCTTTTTTTTTTTTTTGTAAGATCTCTTGGTTTTTTTTTTTTTTTTTCTTCTTCAATACTGGCTCATTGTATCTCTTACAATGTAATGAGTGCTGTAGAGGGGAACCAGCATTGGGGGAAGCGGAGCTGATGCTTTGTATCAGAGAAACCTTTGTTCTTTCTATTGCACCCCAAAGCCTCATTGCTGAACCATCTGCAGTAAGCCCTTGGGCAAGCAGAGCATTGTGCATCCTGGAGGTGGGAACCACAGGATTGTCCTAAGAGGCCTGTACGATGTAAACCCATCCTCTGGCTTTTGACAGGCAAGGGAAGGTAGAGGGAATGTCACTTATTCTTTTGTCCAAGAGTAATTTTGCTAATGTTCCAAATTAGTGAGTGACTGCAGTATGTAGGGTCAGTTTGGGAAATGAGGGACAGGGGAAAGAGCTGTCATGTCATGCTTAAGTGACATCCAATAGGGCAAGGTCCCCAGGACGGGACCATAACCCAACTGCCTCCCCCACAGTACCCACATTCTGGGATGGAGGATCTTTTTTCCTGTTGGCAACAATAAGTATAGCAGGAACTTCCTGCTGAAACTATCAGAAGGCAGGCGTGAGAGCCACCATGTTTTCTAGGATTCTGAGAGTAAGGATAGAGGGATAGGGATGTCCAGGGACATATTCATATTCTGTAACTGAATTATTTTTTTACATTTTTCAATTAATGAGCAACATTCAGTACTGACTGTGAGCAAACTGAATCCACTGCTGCTTGTCGGTTTTCGCATTGTTTGTGTTTGTTGGACTATTTCATGATGTTTTTGAAACATTTTGCTCAAATACCTGAAAAGGGAAACTCTCAAAGCCTGTTCTGTGGTGCATACAAAGCTCTCTAAAGCGGATGCTTCCAACTTTAATTGCTTTGCTGCGTGCTGTATAATAGGTGGGGAATAAGTGTTTCCGCATGGCTGACAATCAGCTCGGTGCGTGCTGGAGTGCCCCGAAATCTCAGCTCTAGAGGAAGCAACTTGTGAAGTTTTTAGCATTCAGTCGTGTCTCGAGGTTTTAAAGAGTTAGTAGCCTTCTCAGCTTTTAGGGAGCAGTCATGACCCATACCTCCCTGGCACACTGGTTTGACGTTGATGCAGGTGGGGTGGTGACTTTCGGTGTGCAGCATATGATCTGCTGTTACTCTTCCCCAGCAGCCATGTGCAGCTAAGATTCCATACCTGACGTATAGCCAGCAGAGAGCAGTGTTCCACTGAAAATTGATTTCTTCTGGACTGTGTTGGAGGGCTTAACCTGGGTCTTCGCTATAGATGATCAGCGTTGAAGAATAATACTGTTTATTTAACCTTCGTGCAGCAGGGATTTGTAGAGACACTTAGAGATTAAACTGCAGAACTTTTTTAATTGAGAGGACTTAAACTTTGTGGCATCTTAAAAAGCATTTTAAAGTACATACAAAGTAGCAGTAAGCAGATTCTATTGCTTGCTTATAGTAACTATGACCTCATTTCTTCAATTAGGTTTTTTTTAATAGACAAATAATCTGGTGGATTTTTTTTAAAATAAACATTTCCTTCATTTACAAATGAAACGTCAGAAATGAGAGGTACAAGCCACCCAGTACAACTGGATGGGCAGCCTAGGCTTTCCCCACAGTTTGCAATATCTTCTCCTCCCTCTCGTCCCCACCCCCCACAGTTTCATCAGACACTGGATTTTGCTCTTGGATAAAGAAATTCTTTGAAGCTTTGCATTCCTTGGATCTGTTCCACAAAGACCAGTCTGGATGTCCACTTTGCTTACTCGTAGAGTTTAACATGAAGGGGTGGACATAAAACTTAACCGTCAAAGCAAAAGCCAGATTGAGCTTACATTTTAGCGATCCAGCTACTCTCGTTGTTAATATAGAATTTATCGTATTTATAGAATGAGAGAAGAGACTCACCAGTATGTTACACGGTAATCTAGGGCAATGCCTGGCTCAGGAATACTAAGCAAAGTCTGTTGTTTTTGGAAACGCTTCACAATGTTTGCTTCTGGTTGAGTCATCGGAGAGTGCTAATTGAGCCTAGACTTCTGGGTAATTCGTCAACAGTGTGTATCGGTGGCAATTCATTGTGCTAGTGAATCCTTTAAACATCATATACTATGTTTGTTCCAAACCACTAAGACGTGCTGTTTTGTTGATTTCCTTTAGAACTGATTTCAGTGTTTAAGCACGGCTTGCGAGCCCAAGAATGTTGCACATTTTCTTGCCAATCCTGCGGTGAAGTCTTGATAAAGGACAGGTAAGGAATGTATTGAGCGCTGATTAGAACTCTGCCTGGGGATGATTTCTGGAAGCAGTTACCATGGGAACAGTGGGGGCCTTAAAGTGAGAGCCAGCTTAATGTCCCTTTGAACAAAGTGAACCCTGACTCCCACCATGATCATGGTCTGAGGGAGGCAGCTGGTCTTGGAGGAAGAGCCTGGACCGATCACTGAGAGCCATGCGGTCATCTCTCAGTGTCCTTTTGTCCTGATGGTGTGTGAGGGTTTCCACAGGAAGTCGATTTCCACCTGCAGGAGCTGTGCAACAGGACTGGATCTGAGCTAGTTCAGTCGGGGCCTTTCTAAAACCCATCCCCTGGTTCCCTGCTTATTAAGATGGAGCAGATAGAGCACAAAGTAACCTTTTCTCGGTGATTGGGTTCATCTTGTAACCTGCTCTGGTGATGTGCTGTAATTACTCTAAGGAGAAGGGAAGGGCTCTTTGCTATTTCCTTTCCTTAGCATTCCCAAGTTGGCCTCTCTTCTCAAAAAATCTCTCTCTCTCTCTCTCTCTCTCTCTCTCTCTCTCTCTCTCTCTCTCTCTATATCTCTAATTATATATTATTAAATTATTAATATTTTTTTATTAATCAGATAAAATTTCTGATTTCTTAGGCATAAATGCTTCCTCTGAATTTTCAGCTTCTAGCAACTCATGTAGAAGACAGATGAAAACATTATTACTGTTAGCTGTATTTAAAGGAAGAATTCTTTGATGGATTTCCTGAGTTAGGTGCCTGAGACAAGAAAATAATACTTCCTTTCTGCAGCCTGCTCTGCTTTCAGCATCCTTGGTTCTCTAAGGCCAAACCTCTGCCCAGGAGATTTCGCTCCCCATACATTGTCACCAGGCAACTGTGGCCATTGCCTTTAGAGTGGAGATCACTTTCCTCTGCCCGTCGTCTCTTACCGAATGACACTTGGTCAGCAGCCTGCTGTCTGCTCAGACTTACTCTTGCCCTGTGCAGATCCACTGTCCCCCTCCCCACATAGGTGTTCTAAAGCACAGTTGTTCTTTCTTTGTTTCTTTCTTTCTTTCTTTTTTTTTTTTTTTTTTTTTTTTTGGTTTTTCGAGACAGGGTTTCTCTATGGTTTTGGAGCCTGTCCTGGAACTAGCTCTTGTAGACCAGGCTGGTCTCGAACTCACAGAGATCCGCCTGCCTCTGCCTCCCGAGTGCTGGGATTAAAGGCGTGCGCCGCCGCCACCACCACCCGGCCAGTTGTTCTTTCTGGATGGAGAGCTGGGATCCTATACACGCCACAACAGCTCCCCTGTGCTGCCTCCAGTTTCAGCCCTTTCTTGTGCTTCCTGCCTCCCCACCAGACTCACAAGTTATCACTGGGTCTGGACTGGCGCTTGTGTTCCGTAGCTTTGGCAGGTTTTCTTCGCCCTGAGGCTACCTGAAAGCTACCCCCTTTCCTGAAGGCACCCTACCCACCACCACTCCCTGGTTCGCCCCAGCCTGAGTTTCAGAATTTAGCTGCCATGGCAACCACTACTTTGAGGCCTTGTCCCCGTCGGTTGCTTTAGGTTTTCTTCTGAGGTCCATTTGCCCGTCTTCACATACTGTGGGCTTAAGGATAGCCACCCTGACTTCTCTGCCCTTGATTCCTATTCTCTTGATTGTGCAGTCTAGAGCAGTAGCCAGCAGTGGCCAGGCGGAGTATCCCGCCACCATTCGCTAGCTCAGGGATCTTGGAAAGGTTATTTGGTCACTCTTCCACAGTGTCCTTATGGAGAGCGTAGCTCACCATAGACCTTACCTCATAGTGCTGTTGGGAGGATCTGGTGATTCAAGTGTTTCTAGCAGTGCCTGGTATGGGGTAAGCCTTCACCATGCATCAGTAGCTGTTGCCATAACCATTATTCTTACCTGCCTCCTCCTCATCAGGCACGGCGCCTAGAGAAAAAGTGTATTCTTAGGAGGTCTCTACTGGGTTGAATGTGGTAAAGTTTGGTGTTTATTTTGGCTTCCCACCAGGCTTTCTTGCTTGCCTCCTGATCTTGGCAGTGCTCCAAGTAGATGAGCTGGCACAAATGCACCCTCAAGGTTTGGGGAGGTTTCAAACGGAGCCTCTTTTGAGTGATTGGCATGAGTAAGAATTGAAGGGGTCTGAAATATATGGAGACGAAGTTTGCTGTGCATCTGCTCTTGATGGCAGATGCACTTCTGAAAGAGCCAAGAGATCTCTGTGCACATTGGCCTTCCCTCAGACCGTTTCAGGCTTTGGATTAATTCTCGGATGAAGTTTCTGAAACATCTCATCCTATGCCACATGCAGTGATCTGGGAGTTGCAGCAGGAACGGTTACGTTCTTGGTACTCATGACAGAAGGGGGATGCTGTTTCTTTACTGCCTGGCGTTTATGCTTCCCTGGGAAAGGATGCTAAGGGAGAGGGCCTCCCTACAGTGCCTATCTCTCTGTCCAGGACTGTAGTCTTCTGTTTTATGTCGGTTCTCCTTAGGCTCTAAAAGTGAGAACTGGAAGGGTGTGGGGCTGATGGTAAAAGACAGCCTTCCTTCTTGACTATCAGGAGGCTTGCCCTTCCGTTCCTCGCTGGAGAATGGAGCATATGTATGAACTTCCATTCTCTCACTGAGGGCGGAGGACCTTCTCTGTACCACCTGAACCTCTTCTTCCAGTACCGCCTTCTAATCATGCTTGCTTTCCAGATTTACAAGAGAGCTAAGCAATGCGACATATCTAACCGAGGAAATGCTCAGCAAGGTTTATAATTGGTTTTATTGATTCCGTCTCCCCTTTCCAGATTGTTTTTATTAGTAAAGTAGCAAGTGTCCTAGTTTAATGTCTCAAGCATTTTGGGCTGAGGACCGTGGCTCCCATAGTCTGTAGGTTTCAAAATGAGAGGATGGACACTGGTCCCCTCCCACCCTTTCACAGCACCCCCCATCAAGCCCCTGTGTGTGCCTTGAGCAGCACAGGTAGTAACTTGCTCAGGGTTTGCATCCATCTCATAGTCTCTTGGACAGTATGTCCCGTGATTCTGGATGGACTTCCCCCTGATGTCTGCTCATGGATCTCACAATTTACTGTGGAAATCAATCCTGGGCCTCTGCACTTCCTCCTTGGTGACCTGTTCTGCGTGGTTGCCAAGGACCACTTTGGTGCTTCTTAAAAAGCAAACGGGACCAGCCGTGTTTCAAGTGAGCTGATGTGTGTTTTCATCAATATCAACAAATTATAAGCAGCATTCTCTAGAGGGTATCAGGGTTATCGACTGCTTTCTTTTAAATTCTTATTTTGTTATTTTTATAATGTGCATGTGTATGTGTACGTGTGGGTATATATGCGTGTGTGTGTGCAATTGCCTATAGAGTCCAGAAGAGGCTGTCAGATCCTTTTGGAGTTATAAGGTTGTAAGGCACTCCACATGGGTGTTGGGAGCTGAGCCCAGGTCCTCTATGAAAGTGGCATGCCCTTATCCTCTGAGCCATCTCTCAAGCCCTCTTATATAGGAATAAGTTGCATTAGTTTTGGGGCATTATTTCTCTATCTGTAAACTGTAGAAGTTGGGTTAGAGAAACCTGTGACAGTTTCATCAGCACGGAACTTTTCTGATTATTGAAACTCAAGAGCTTGTGCTCTGAGCTTCTGTGACTCTCTGAGTGTCTAGCTAGTTTAAGGCTAAAGCATGTTCTGTTCTTTCCTTTTGAATGAGAAAGGTTCTTGTCCAGGAAAGGACAGAAATAACATAAAGACATTGACTCGGAAAGACTCGTTAATGGCTTTTCATTTTCATCACCAGAGCGTCCGAGGCCTGCGAATTATTACAGCCTTTTTCTTTCTTCAGGGCTGCATACTCTTAGCCGGTTTGTTTTGTTTGCATGTTAGTTAACAACATCTTGTTTCTTTCTAAGACAGCTGTCCAATTTATAATTACTTTAGTTCAAGTTTTCCTACCATATTTGTCTGAATATGTGCAGCTTTTAACTATGTTATTGTTGAGACTGAACAACCGATACATTTTCCTTTTTTGCAAATAGTCTGATAAATAGCCAGAGGTCAGTGTGTTTAGATTTTGTTCTGCCTTCTTGGAAAAGATTCCCGTCAGACTAGAGAATGACATCGGTAGCCAAACATTTTCCACACACACCTTCATATGCAGACTGTCTTTGGCATTGTCCTGAGGTCTGTGGACCAGACCCCTCCTGCTGCGCACACTGGCAATACTCGGTGTCAGCCCCAAGCTCATGGGGGACACTGAAACTCCAGGGGAACAGCAGGATGGGCTTTGTGGAAACAGATGTCACAGTGTCCCAACTGCTTGAGGGAGCCGCTTGACAGGCCAGCTCCAATTGTAGCTGCAAAGGTGTACTCTGGTGAGTATCATCGCTTGTTTATAAAAGAAATAAATGGGTTTTGAAAGTATAAAATTGAGCCTTGGATACGCTATAGACCACATGCTTACATGTACAAAGCGTGTTCAGTCCCTGTCATCCTGCTCCCCTCCCCCCAAACAAGGTGTTTTGTAAACTGGCCTTTTGACAGCATTGTATGCATTTAGGAATAAGATTATATATTACAGATTAATCATGGTGTGTACAGACAAATATTAGAATGTAAAGCTAGTTTTATAGTGCTGGTTGCCTGCCTGTTGGGTAACGTTGCCTGAATTTACGTAAATTCTGGCTGCCATATTTTGAGCTTTAAGTAGTTAATATTTTTTCTTAAGATCTTTAATTTTCGGTTGGTTAAAATCAAATCTTTAAACGGTTCTCTGGCATTGCCATTATTATTGTCATTGATTAGAAACTGACTTCAAAGTTCAGGGATGTTGTATTTTCTCCCACAAATGTTTAAGTGGTTAAAACTCCATCATTAGCTTCTATTAAAGTTATATGTTACATGTCATTATTTTCCAAAAGTTTATATAGCAAACTTTAATTTGTGGTAACCATGTACTGTTCCTCACAGGATCTTAAGTCTAGAGGAAAACCTAAGTTGCTGCTTCCCTTCCTTTCCAGCAGCTTTTTAGCTAAACTACCTTGAATTAAAAAATAAAGGTTTCTCTTTTATTTGAATATACTCTTAGGAAGTAGATGATATCAGAAAATACATTTTAGTGCTACTTTGGCCGATATACTTTAAGTCGATCTGTGATTAAAATGCATCTTTCCTTCTTAAAGGTTTCATCGCCCCCCCACCCCCCGCCAAGAAAAATATCAGAAAATTTTCTTTCTGCTGTAAACCTTTAATTTTTGCAGTGGGCTGTGAATTGCGTGCCTCTTTCTGATGCTATCTGTAGATGCTTATCCGGTGTGACATGGGGTCAAGTTAACTTTGAAAACTCCTATTTTGTGATAATGGGCATCAATTCTCCCAGGTCTTTGTGTGCTTTCATTTCTTTGATCATGCATGGGTCTTTGACATTCTGTCTCTTTTCAGTGTATTGAGTTCCTGTCCTGGTCCTGAAGGCACAATGTCAGGAGGCAGAGAGTCTGACTAGCGATTCATGGACCTATGTATGCCTAACTCTTGTTTTCACTTCCCTCCTTAAAACACTGAGATGCTTCTACCTATTTGTAGGTCCTAGACTTCCCTACAGAAGGGGTGCTCATTCACCCGCTCAGCCTTTACTCCTGCCCTGTGTGGCCAGGGAGGAGAATGTATTCCAAGGGAAAGAGTAACTTTAGAGCCAAAAAGTCCTGGATAAAGACCCACGCTTCCGTCTTTGCTTCTAATTTTACAGACGTGTGAAGACATTTCACGCTCCTAAGCCCCATTTTCCTCCTGTGTGACAGGAGCATTGTTGTTTAGACCTCACAAAATGTCCTGAGCATTAAATATGGTAAGGTGTGTGCAGTGCCCCCAGGGGTCTTGCAAGTGCTTCTACTCATACTGACTCACAAGATTGCTATAGGACACATTTCTTGCTGGCTAGACAGCAACAAGAATTCCTCTCTGACCCGTGGTCAAACATTGGGCTGCTCTTAGGGGAGTCCTGCTGAGGAGAGTGAGGAGAGAGGGAGGAATTGTAGGAAACGGGGGGTTCAGGGACATCGCAAGAAAACCCACAGAAACCCCTAGCCTGGCTCAGAGTCTGAACCAACAACCAGGATGAGATTGACCTAGGCCCTCTGCATATATGTGACAGGTGTGTAGGTTGATCTATATTGAAAATCCCGGCAATGGGGTCAGGGGCTGTCCCCGGTGCTTTGTCTGGCTCTTGGGAACTTGTTCCTCATGCTTTATGGCTTTGCCCAGCCTTACTACAGGAGGAAATGCTTGGTCTTATGGCAGCTTGATATGCCATGCTTTGCTGAAGCCCTTTGGGAGGTTGCCCTTTTCTGAGCTTATGAGGAGGAGGAGGGGTGGATTGGGGAGGGGGAGGGGAGGAGGGGAAGGGAGTGAGAGGAAGGATGGGGAGGATGTGGTCAAGATATAAAATAAATAGCTAATAATAATTAAAGCAAAAGATTTTCTATCTATATGGGCTTTGCTGCATGCAGTCTATGTAAGGAATAGTTGATAGTCTCACTGGGGGATCCTTGTCTCCACATGTGACATAGTTCCAGGTACAGAGCACAAAATCCATATCAGACAGATGCTGTTGCTGCTTTGGCTGAGAAGCTTCCCTGCCCCAAGCAGACAATTCTTTGATTGTGGCTTTTAGGATTTTACCAAGGTAACCGCATTCAGGGAAGGTCAAAGTATGCACCCTTACCAGATGTGTGCAGCTCATTCATAGATCTTCCTAGTAAGATGCAGTTACGAATCGTATGGATCGTTTCTACCGTAAGCAGTGTTGCCTAGCAATGTATGTGATGCTCAGGATCTTACCTGGTTTCCAAGGTAACGAAGCTAGGTGGTTATTCCAAAGGTCAGCTACTCAGGCAGCAAGGAAAGGCTTGTTAATCCTTGCATCCACGTATGCAGCAAATCCAGCCAGGAGCCTCACATGTCAGATTTACCCAAATTTACCGCTTCATTCCTTCAAGAAACACTTAACAAGTGTGTCAAACGGCAGGAATACAGTGCAGAGGTAAAGAGATGTAGGGCCTGCCTTTGTGTTGTTTCTTCCAGTGCCCTAAATTCCTTTCATTGCTTGAGGGACTCCTGTTTTCTTATCCTTCAAAGACCAGCTCAGAAGTTACCTGTTCTCTAGTTGGTAAGCAGAATATGTCCTTAGGACTCTGTCTGTCCTCCCCTGTATGCATGGTCTGGTTTGGGAGCACTCTGACTCCCTACAAATAAACTGTAAACTTTGTGTTTATGTGGGAAGGGGGCTGACGCTTTCGTCACATTTCCACTGTGATCTGTACTGCCGCCCTCCCCCAGGAGGTTAGAATGACATTGCTCTATTAGGCGCTTTCTAAACACACACGTTTGTTTATCGTGTGTAGTCTCTACTTCCTATTAGAGTACTTTGAAAAGGAAGAGACTGGGTATGTGCTTGGGTGTCATATGTTAGGCCAGCATACTGGCCGGCTCCTGGCAAGCTGTCAGAAGTGGATGCTGAAAGAATCCCTTGTCAGTGCCCTCCCATCTCAGCAGTCAAAATGATGCTAGTGGTGCCCCGTTTGAGTCAGTGTTTCTATTCATAGCTCTGTCCTGTAGAGCTGAAAGTTATATGACTACCCTCTTCCAATCTGTCACTGCCCTTTTATGATACTCATATTTGATTGGGAGAAAGGAAAAATGTGGTAAGGTGTGTGCAGTAGACATGACAGAGGCATATCTTAAATATTTTAACTTAACTCCGATCTTCTAAATGTACATTATTTTGTTTGTATTTTACTAGTAAGAGAAGCAGTAGATGTCACCTTAAGCAACAGATCAGGTTAGCATCACCAGAGTAAGCTCCGCTGACGTAGAGTGCTGTGACAGGATGTAATGAGAAGGACTTTCTTCTCTGGAATGCTTTCGCCAAGCCTGTGGCCCACACTGATCCAGAGACAGCATCAGAGAAGCTCTGCCTAAGAGGTGTCTTATAGACTGATGAGAAGTATACACTTGGAAACTGTCACAGACCAGAGGAGGCCTGGATTGCGTGATGACCAAATGCAGTGTGTGCCATGTATTATTGTACCTTGGAATCGAAAAGACAAAAACAAAAACAAAACAAAACTAAACTAAAGCACGTTGGTGAAAAAACTGGTGAAATCCAGATAAAGCCTGAGATTTTGACAAGTCAACTGTGGTTACCCAGAAGCTAACTGGAGAAAGTGGGGAAAGTGTATATGGAACTATCCACAGATTATATATGAGCTCTGTGATGTTTTTGTAAATCAAAAATTATTCAGAAATAAAAAGTTTATTAAAATAGAGAAGTGAAAGAAATCACAAAAGACAGTGCTATTTAATATCAGTAAACCAAATTGAAAAAGAAAATAAATCTTTAAATATTTATAACAATTGCCAGTTAAAAGGGTATATCCTTAGTATGGAACATATTTTTATAAATTAATAAGAATATATAGAAATATCTTAAAAACGTAGTTATTGATCATTCTCCTTAGAAGAAATATAAATGTGACAAGTAAATGTAAAAATCACTTCTAGATCACTGGTAATTTAAGAATTGCTAATTAAAGCAGCAGTAAGTATGCTTTTAACTCGTTCCTTGGGTGGAGATAGGGAAAGAGACAGTGTTTAATTAAGAAGAGGTTAACCCTATGTGGGGAGAAGTTCACCTACTTATAAGATGTTTTCTCCCCCCAAATGGTCATATTTCTATATAACTTTTTAACAGGTATATCCATCACAGGGTTATTGATTAAGAACTCAAAACTAAATATCTGACAGTGAGGGGAGGAGCTAGAAAGTCTTGACATCCCATAGACTGTTGTGGAGTCATTGGGCATCCGGACCTATGTGAAGAAATGGAAACAGAGTTCTGTCTGTGTCCTCTCAGGACACAGGGCTCCCATGTGTGCATGTATGCAGTGTCTGTGTCTTCTCAGGACACAGGCTTCCCATGGAAAGGATGGTGATGAAAATGCTGTCATGTTAGAGTAGCTGATTTGTAAATAGTGAGCCAAGGAAGACTTCTGCCTTCTTTATGCCTCTCTGCCGCGTGTGAAACATTGTGTGGAGTGAGCATATATTACTTTCATAACTGGGGGGAATTGACACTGCAAGCATGTGGCTAATGAGCTTCTTAAAAAAAAGCATTGCATTTTGTACAGTGAAAAAAGTACCCTTTCCTCTTTCCACTAGGAAGCTCCTCAGGGTGCTCCCACTGCCGAGTGAGAACTGGGGCGCTCTGGTTGGAGAATGGTGCTGCCATCCTGACCCCTTTGCTAATAAGCCTCTACAGCCACGAGAAAACGACTGTTTTATTGGGGACTCTTTCTTCTTAGTGAATTTGAGAAGTGATTTGGAGCAGGTAAGAGTTGAACTGAAGTCTTAAATTGGTAAAATAACATTGCAAAATACAATGTAACTTAGAGGTTGATTTAGATACCAATTTCCCTGCTTTTAACCCAAGGTTTGTTGAAGAGATTGTTCTAAAAGCCACAATTCAGTATTTTAAACTGCTTCTGCACGTCATCTCTTTGGGTAGAGGAAAGGCCTTAAACTCAAGCCACCACTGGGGTCTGGAGGAATAGGACACTTATTCACGCTTAGATTTTTGGAGTGCTACCATAATGCCCTGCTTTCTGGCCACATACTATAATCTGTGCATTTTAATCTCAAAAGTCTTAGTGAAAGTGCAGGAGAGTTAGCCCAGGATATCCACTTTGCAATTAGATCCAGGTATCTTACTGTGTTTGCCTATTGTCTAGACTTTCAGTAATGTTGAAAAGGTGGGTGCCATTAAAAAGAAAGAAAGAAAGAAAGAAAGAAAGAAAGAAAGAAAGAAAGAAAGAAAGAAAAAGGAGCCCTCAAGTGGTGCTGAGCTGAGCTATGGGCCTGCACTGGTGTTCAGCAGTTCAGAGTCTCATGCTCTCCGTATGTAGCTTGCTTTGAGGATAAGGCAGCTTCCTCTCACAACATTAAAAAAAAATTACTTCTATTTAAGAGGAAGTCAACAGGTAGGTGTTGGTATGGTCCTGGTAAGGAGTTCTCCCCCGAGATGGCCAGTCAATAGAGATATAATTTAAAATGTCAAGAAAATTATCTCTGGACAGCCTTTATTTCAGTAGTGATTATTACTGGCAAGCACGGAAGCATTGCATTTTAAATTTCACTTAGAACTCAGTTCACTTTCTGCACTAAAAACAGCAGCGAGTGTGTGGTGGGTGGCCAGCTTAAAGAACAATGAGGAAGATGAAGGGGAGGCGGCAGATAGCTGGATAGCTCTCAGGTAGAGGTGCATAGGGCTTCCTCTCAGCACAGGAAGAAGCCCCTTGTCTGTCATAAAGTACTTGAGTGTTCTGTGTTTCAGCAGATGGAGGATGAGTTAGTGTAGGTCAAAGTCATAGTTAGGGTTAAATTTATATTTTCATCGGGATTTAGATCCTTGCTGTCATGTTTTTCATTTTTATAATTATACCACCTACTTGCAAAGTATGGAAGGTGTGAGGAGAAAAAACAATGGAGAAAGATTAAATAAGAGGAGTAGATTAAAATAAGAAAAACTGAGTTTTCCTTGTGGAGAAACCACGCCAAAATATATTCTCCGCTTTTACAGTCATCACTTACATTAGGGCCTTTTAAAGAATTTATTGTCCTTCTAAATGATAGTCCCATGCTTTGTGTGCTAAAGGAAGATTCTTGTATTTAGACATTGCAGTTTCCACTGTTAGGGAGGCTGTGGGAAGTTGCTGTCATGACAAGCTACCGTGGACAAGGTTGTTTTCAAGTTGGTCTGGATGGAAGTTTCACTTTAATTGCATATTGTAGCAGTTGAAAGAGTATGCCTGTGACCGAAATAGTAACATAAATTTGGAGTGACTGCTTAAACACTGCTCTCAAGGATCCGGTGGGAACAAGGCTGCTCTGTGCTATTGAAAACCTATTCCTCATATCACCAGGTTTGGCCATCGAACAGGGTTGGGAAATGTCACATGGTGACACAGCATCCTAATGGTATCTCTTGGGAAGCATTTGTGTGTGTGTGTGTGTGTGTGTGCGCGCGCGCACAAGACCATATCAAGGGTCCTTAGAAATTGAAACAACACAAAAGAAAATAAAATCATGGGCAGGAGGCTAATCCAGCTCTCTGAGCGGTACTGCCATCTCTCAGATATATTGATTTAATTAGTCCCCAGCAATGTCTTTCTTTGAGGTTTGCTCCGTAGAGTTCCCACAGTGTTAGACGGCTTCATTACACAACTTGTTTTATTATTTCCTTGAAGCTTAGCTAGAGAAAAATGCCTTGCAAGGCAGAGCTTCTTCTTAAACAGAATTCACGTGCTAGAGTACTTTAATTATAAAGATCGGAGTTTGGAAGCAGCACAAACATATCTTCACATGCTTCCATTCCTCCACGCCTTCTTGGGTTTGTAGTGCTGTTTCTGGGCCTCATTAATGCAGCAATAAGTGCGCTCTATTTTCAGGAGTCCTCTGCTGAAGACAGGGCTGTGATTCACTTGTCATGTCTGATATTAGTTTTTGGGCCTCCCACATACTGAGTATTTCGCATCTTATAATAGGAAAATAACGATGGACCTCAATCTTCCATTAGAGTCATAATATGATTCAAAATTTAGGGAACATAAGCTGGGAATGGGAATTATTATGCCCGTGGTCCTAACTGCACTGGATATGTAGATAGTATATTGGGTTCGGGAATGCAAGTCCAGCCTGAGCGACATAACAAGACCTCATTTTGCAAAGCGACGAAACTTAGTGCAATCATGCTTTATTTTATTTTTCTAAAGAAGCAAAATTGAATTTGGCTTGATTACTGCTGGAGAGTATGACCAAGATCAACTTTATCTTTTATTTTTGGGGGCACTGAGTTAATAATTTATGGGTTTGAGGAATTTTTTTGTGGTTTTCATAATATTTACACAGTACATTGATCATCTTTATTACTATGCATGCTTCATCTGCCCCTTTTTTTCTTACTAATGTGATTAAGAGCAAACAATAGTATTGTGTCATTTCATCCCTATGTGTTTCCATATGTGTTTAGGTCTAAAAATAGGGAAAAAAGAAATATGTAACCTCAGTTACCATTATCACACCTCATAAAATCAGGTCATATGCAAATTTTATTAGTTATCTTCAAAGTATTTTCAGTATGTTTATTTGGATGAAAAATGATTTGCTTTTTATTGATCAATTTTTAAATGCTGATTGTCCATATCTTATAAGGTTATAATCTTATTTTTAAAAACAAATAAATAAACCAATGATTTTCCTACTTTATTTATTTATTGGTTAGAGAAATGACTCAGAGGTTAAGAGTGCTTTTTGCACTCTTACCCAAGTTTAGGTCCCAGCACCCAAGCCAGGCAGTTTACAACTGTTTGTACTTCTTCCTCCAGGGGATTTAGCACCATTTTCTGACCATTTTCTGGCTTCCCTGGGCACCTGCATATACCTGGTGTGTGTGTGTGTGTGTGTCTGTTTGGAGAGAGAGAGGGGGGGAGAGAGAGGAAGAAGAAAGACAAAGTGACATGATCAATAATAAATGAAATGTGTAAGTGTGTAAGTGATGTAAGAGAAACCTGACACACACACACACACACACACACACACACACACACACACACACACACACCAAAAGCACCATTTTCTGTCTGGATAAAGCAAAATCCTTTCCAGCTTTGCTGTTCCAGTAAACCCTTTATTTCAAATTTAACTTTTAGAAAATGACATCCTTTGAAAACAATGTTATTACCAATTTGATGCTGGCTGGATGTTTTTACCGTTAGCCTGAACCTGGAGATCTTGGCCTTCATGACCTCTTTGCAAGCTCCCTCTATCTGGGCACGAGCGATTTGGCACTTCCCTGGTCCAGGGGTCTATGGCTTCAGATGGGAATGACTTTGTCCAATCACCTGCTGTGGCGAGGCTCTGCACCTGCTGTCTGCGTTGTGCTGGATTTAAGGATGTTAATAGCTGGACATGGCATCACCTGTGGACCTTGCTTAGGGTCCTTGCCTGGTTAGTGCCAGGGCCAGCGTGAGCAGGCTTGAAAATGTTCTATTTGGTAGTTTCCTCAACTGAGATTTGTAGAGACAGATCAGAGCTGTGTAAGTCCCGAAGCTAGAGGAAAATAGGATAGGTTGCGAGTTATTGAAGTATGAAGATACTCATTTCAGAAGTCCCTGTGGGGAAGAGCCACCGGGCATTTGTGGGTTTCTGCTCATAGTGGATTCAAAGGTAGGTAAAGGACTGAGTCATAAAGACCCCGCTAGGAGTTGCATAGTGGCTTCTGATTAACCTTCAACTAAAGCAAGGCATGTATTTTTTTTTCTGATTATATTTTTTCTTTATTTTAATTATATGTGTATTGGTATTTGCATATATATATATATCTGTTCAGCCAATGAGTGAAGGGCATGGTGTAGGCCCGAAGTGGCCATCAGATTCCCTGGAACTGGAATGATGGATGTTTGTTAACCCCCATGTGGGGGGTGTGAATTGAACCCAGGTCCTCTGGAATAGGAGCCAGGTCTCTGAATCACTGAGATATTTTTCCAGCCCCAAGAGAGGTATTTGTTTTTTAACTTTTTCATGTAACTTGCTTTTGCCTTCAGGACTTGATTGGTTCCAATAAGGTATATACCATATCTATTCTCTATTCGATAGTAGATTGCAACTGTATACAACCTATTTTATGACTTGGTGGGTCACAAAATGCTCAGCTCATGATGGGCAGCTTGGGTCATATGGTAACTTGTTGGCATGTAGTCAAATGTTCTGTTTCTACTAAAGCCTAATAGCAGGCCAAGAAGAACTGTCTCTCGAAGGTAGAATAGTTGTCTGTAGATGACGGTAAAACCTTTCTCCAAAGTCCCATAGGCCCCTTCTGTGATTCACCCATAGGGTTCAGCCAAAGGCCCCAAACAGCATCCCTATCTGCCACTGACACCTCAAGTACCATTGGGTCTGCTGCATCATCAGATGTAGAACAGTCTGCACAGTAGCCTGGATTTGTTGAAAATTCTTCTCCTATCTTAGGCCCCACTCAACACTAGCAGCTTGTCAGCTCTTTGGTGCATTGGTCAGAGTAACATACCCAAGGCAGGCGTTTGCTGTCTCCAGAATCTAAATAGGCACACCAAGCATTGTGCTGCTTTCTTGGCAGCAGGAGGGTCTAGACACAATAACTTACCCTTCATCTTTGAAGGGATGTTTATGCATGTACCACATTACTGAACTTCCGGAAATTTCACCGAGGTGGAAGATCGCTAAATTTGTACCCATGGAGGCCAGAAGTGGACACTGGGATCGGACTTCCATTCCCTGGGATGGAGATTACAGATGGCTGTACACTACTGTGTGGGTGCTAGGAATCAAACTGAGGTCCTCTGGAAGATCAACCAGTGGTCTTAACTACTGAGCCATCTCTCCAGCACCTCTTCCTGTTTTAAAATTAAATTTTCTTTTATTTTAAGTCAAGGTCTCACTGTTTTACACAAGGTAGTCTGGAACTTTACTATGTAGCTCAGGGACACCATGAACTTGCAATCCTCCTGCCTCAGCTTCATAAAACTTGGATTATAGGTATTTAACCCCCATACCCATCATCACACGTTTTTAGGACATCAGCTACATTGCGACACATACGTGAATGAAGAGCATTGTGTAGCTTTAATGAAGAATTACTGTGGGTCTCAAAAATAATAACATTCATTAATGACAAGGAGAATATCAGCAGTTAAGAAATATCCTACTGAACTTAGAGTTTTGAAGTCTGAGAGTGTTTCAGGAAATTTTTTCACTACCCATCTCTCCAGTTACAGTGCATATCTTAAATGGAGAAAAATAGAATTACATGAACAAGTTGGGTATTTTTAACTTCTGAATTATGGGTGGCTATGATTTGTATGTTGCACTGGACTCTGACTGAATGTGTGAGCTAGCGCTCCATTCCTTCTGTATTCTGGGTGCTCTGAGTTCGGGTGAGTTACCCACCATTGCCCTTGTCACCCACCATGTCCCTGATCTTTAGAAGTATGAAGTGCTTCTTGTTCCGATTATTTGGCAACATTTGGATTATCAGGAAGTGGCTAGATGTGTAAAAGTCAATCTGTGTATTATTCTGTCTTTGGATAGGAGAAAAAATGATCTCTGCATGTGAATTATGCACACAAGCTAAATGTATTCCTAGTATTTACTTGAGGGCAGAGTAGAATGTAAAGTTCAATGTATACCCTGGGGATTGTGTCAAAATTATATATTCCTTTTAAGAAAAGTTGAATGACATTTAAATGACATTTTTTCTTTTCCACAGGAACCAAAAGCAAATACCAAAGTCATTTGTAAGCGTTGCAAGGTAATGTTGGGAGAGACCGTATCATCAGGTAGGAATTTCATAATGCAAGGCTGAAATGACTGCCCTCTTACTTAAAAACTAAACAGATTTTATGGTCATTGTGTAGGAAAGAGGGATAATTAATTTATTTGATAGAATGCATGGATTAAAGAATAGAAACCACCTAATCCATCACCCAGTCTGCCAATGAGTCTGTACTCTCTGACCTTGCAAGGGCTAGTTAGGAAACCATGGTTTGTCTTCATTGTCTCATGGCCTTTTTGCAAAGCATCAGTATAGAGTTTGCACTTAGGTCCAACTTAAGGAAGGTTGGAACCTTTTTCTTAACACGATTCTTCTGTCTAAAGACTTAATACCCAGCGATGGAGAAGTTGCTTTTCTTTGCTGCTATCTTCCATGGGGCCCTATTTTGTTATTGTAAGTAGAAGGGGCCTTGTTGAAATACTAGGAAACACATTCTGGGTTTTGTACTTTGTTCCTTATTCTTTCTTTATTTTTATTTTTTCGTAAAGATTTTTAAATTTTGTTTTATGTGCGTTGAGTCTTTTGCTGGCATGCATTTATGTGTGCCTCACGAGTGCCTAGTGCCTGCGGAAGTCAAAGGAAGGCATCTGATTCCCTGGACCAGGAGCTTCAGATGGTTGTGAGCCATGATGTGGGTGCTGGGAATTGAACCTGGGTCCTCTGCAAGACCACTGAGCCATCTCTCCGGGCTCTCTCTCTCTCTCTCTCTCTCTCTCTCTCTCTCTCTCTCTCTCTCAACTTAAAAATATTATTTGTGTGTGCCTATGAATGAAGGAATGTGGAGGTCAGAGTTAAGCATTGTGGAGTTGGTTCTCTCATTTAAGCTTTGCACAGTTTCCAGGGGTCAAAGTCAGGTTGCCTAACTTGCATGAAAGTATCTTCACCCCCGGAACCATGGCTTTGTGTGTGACTCTTTTTCTCGGTGGTATTACGCTTTCTGCAAACTCTCCATTATACTACTTTAAAATATAATAATGAAAACGTTGGTAATTAAAATGGTGTTTAAAGATACAGTTTAAAATGTCTAGAGAGCAACAGCATGCTGTGTTTTCATGGGTAATGAATCATCACTTTAATATGATTAATTAGAGATTTAATTTAAGCTGTGCACTTAAGGGGAGGCAGATAGTGGTTTTGTATGTTTGTTTGTTTTACTCATTGAAATCTTATTAGTAGTTTCTTTTTCTAAGGAAGGAGAAAAGGAAGCATGTACATTAACGATATCAGTCAAGATATTATCCCTCCCCACCTCCTTCCCTGAGCAGGAAAACAACCACTTTATGTAACATCTCAAAAAAAAAAAAAAAAAACTGAAGCTTTCAAAGAGACGTTTCCTTGATGATGTCTGAGTACTATATTTATCTGTGGGTACAAGGACAAATGTTTAGAATGTATTTAGGGATTGTGCTAGTTTAGATTGATAATGCATGGTGGTTGTAAATTTTCCTCCAATAACCATGCCTTCCCTAGCCCTGGGTAGTTGGCTAGGTTTCCAGTACTAGACTTGGTTTCCCTCATGTTTAGTGGGTCCTACATTTAATTAGAGAGCCATTGGTTCCTGCCGAGGGACTGTATCTTTAGGGTTATCATGCCAGGCTGGTTGTGGTTCATAGGTGTCAGGGCTGGGTGGGACTGTTGGGTGTATTCCTCCTTTGGAAACTTGCATGTCACAGAAGACAATTTTTGTACAACATATTACTGGCTTTCAATGTTTGAGTAGAACCTTTCCCCAAATGGTTCTGGGGGCTGAGCATAAGCAAGGGCCATAGATACTCTTCAAGAAGCTGGAGTGAGCAATGTAAAACTGAACAAGGGGCTGGAACATGCTCTTCAGTGGGCAACCCAAGCCTGACACTCTGGGTTCAACCTTCTGAATAGACAAGGAGGTAGGAGAGAATGAGAACGCATGTATCATTCTCTGACCTTCACACACATGTGCCTGGGCACATGCATGTACACACAAAAACATGTAAAACTTTTTAAACATAAATTTAAAGCTTCTTCTAAAGAACTGAGCCGAATTAATGACTACATTGTATTCATACAGTGGACCTGTTCCACAGTGTAAATTCAAGCCAGTTAACTGACTGCTATATAGATAAACCAAGATCAAAACAAAGATCCATAGTTGTTGTAGTTACATGCAGTGTCTTGCACTGGTCCAAAAATGATTAGATCTTCAAAGCATAAAAGAGTGTTTTGTACGCAAGAAAAAATAAGGATTGACAAACAGATCCTGAATAAGTGCATAGATTAGGAAGCTAATCTGTGGAAATAGCTATAATGATACATAAAGAATTAAATGAAAAAATATCTTTGAATAATTTCAAATATTATATTCCACAGAAGGAACAAATGGGTAAATTTAGAATTGAAAATTATAATCTCTGCAAAGAAAAAAAACACTAGATGATCCAAACTACAGATTTAAGAAGATAGATTTTAAAAAAGTATTGAATTTTTAGATTGATAAAAATAGCCAATCCAAAGAACACAGAGGGGAAATAACTAAAACAAATCAAGAGATGCTCAGACTTATGGGACAGCATCAAGTGTTTCTACACATATGTAAATGGAATCTCAGAGTGGAGAAGAAAAAGAAATCATAAAACAAATTTGAAAAAGCTCATTGAAATCTGGGAGAAATTTGGTGGATGGCAATAATTCTTCTGAGAAGTTAAGTAAGCTCCAGGTTGTGTAGAGCTGCTGGAAAGCGTCAAGGTGGGAGGGATCAAAGAGCAGAAGAAAACCAAGCACACACAGGGACTTCATAACACAGCTAAGGAGAGTGTCTCGGAAATGGTGACCTCCAAGTGACATCAAAGTAGCCACACGAAGTGCTGCCGAGATAACCCATCACCCGACAGTACTGCATCCAGCAGAAATCTTCCTTAAAAATTAAAGAGAGAGTACAACTGTTTCTTGTTAAGTACATAAAAATAAAGTGTTATAAACAGACCTGCTCTACAGAAAATCCCAATAGGAGTTCTTCAGGCTGAAGTGCAAGATGCCAGGACAGTGTCTGGAAACACACAGACAGACATAGAGTGTGGGAAATGAGTGGTATACGGGGGAATTACCACTGGAGCGAAGTCAGGACAAAATTCCAGGCGTCACCCCCTGCAGGGTGTCAGTTCTCATACAGACAGAAATGAAGACTACACAGAGCAGAGAATTTGTCTCCCCATAACGCCGAGCTCCTGAAGGCTGCACCCTCCCAGCAAGGTGGGCAGGAGAGCTGGAATGACAAGCAGGGGCCAGCCCTTGCCACTGGGGGACCTTCAGCTGTTTAACTGAGCATAGGACTAGGCTCGCCACTAGATACTGTCGAAGTCAGATGTCTTTCACCTGTGGGAGGAAACCTTTCATTTTCAAATTCTTACATGTAAAATTTCCAATACAATGCTGTTGCACAACCAAAGCTAACTAGGCACACGTGTGTGTTAACTAGACAACCCCCGCCCCGCCGCTGCCCATCATGGTTTTCCAAATGTGAGCAAAATACCCGCAAAGAACTTAAAGGGATAGAATTTATTTTGCCTCTGGTTTTAGACCGCTTGAATCTGGACCTGTAGAGAGATAGCATCATCATAGTGGGTTTGCGTGATAGAGGCTGCTCAGTCCATAGCCAATAGTGGGGCTTGGGGCTGCGAAAGAACACAGACACACACCTCAGACCCATCCTGTGAACCTACTCCCTCTAGCTAGGGCCCACCTCCTAGAATCCTCATAATTTCTCAAAGTAGCTGGGCCTCTGGCCTTCAACAGTGAGCCTGTGGGGACATTTCTTATTCATCACAACTTTGCCAGGATCTAACTGTAGAAACAGACTTCTTATTGGAATTGTACTGACATATATAAGCTGTAAAACATGCTTGGGATATCTAACAGTGTAAAAGACAGATCTGAAGATGGCTGCACACAAGAATGAACGAAACGGTATGTGTGTTTGGAAATGCTCCGTGATAGAATCTCTGTGACCGTACTGCTTCATGATTGAAGCCAGCAGTTCGGAAAGCTGTTGATAGCAGACCCGATACAAGTTAAATCAAGAATTAATAAACAGAGGAAAGATGAGAAGGATCTTTAACCCTGCACACGGAAGCAGAAAGTAGTGTGTGGAGTATAGACAGAGATGTAGACTGAGGCAATCTACTGTGTGTTTAATTGTACATCTTTGTGGAAAGAGGAAAAAGCTGCAGCATAGGCTGTGTTCGATCAAAGAGTCGCTGAGAATTCTATGAACTGATGCAGAGCTATCTACAGATTCAAGAGGCACAGTGATTTCCTGAATTCCCATTTGGTGAGGCCCAAGTAAGATAAATAAAAGAAATCTGTATCTTGGTGCATCAAAGTAATGGCTGCAGAATGAAAAGCAAAGAAAAAAAATCTTAAAAGCAACCAAGGGAAAAAATGACAGCTCACCTTCAAAGCAGCAGCAGTAATGGAAATTTGAAGAGAGCGGATGGCATTGTCAGTGTGCACAAAGAAATAACTGTTGACCCCAGGACTTTGTAGCAACTGAAGTCTCCTCAACAAAGAAACAAACAGGCCAGGGTAGTACACCGCTAGCTGTTTCCTACGAAGAGAAATCCCACCTGTACCCGGATAGAAGAAAGTGACCCCAGAAAGCTCGGAGAAGATTGATAGAGCAGGTGGTTGGATGTGGACAACAGCCAATGAATCCCCACCGCATGAAACCAGCACAGGCACTCCGGAGTTAATAATTACCACCAGCTGGGACATAAAGAGTCACTGTGTGACATTCAATGATTCGCTTCTATATGCGATGATAAGACTTCAGAATAGTAAGGTGAAATTGACAGAAATGAAAGGAAACATATTTTCATCTTTTAGATACATAATGTATAATTACCATTATATGCTTTTTATTGATTTTTTTTTACCTTTTTCTGTGTCTTACATCAAGCCATTGAATTTTTTTTAAAAAAATTGTTTTGATCTTATTATAAATGGACACCATTGTTTTTAAGAAAATACTATTTTAAACTACTTCTGGTTTTTATTTTTAAAATTTAAAATATGTGAGAAATTCCCTTGCCTAAACAACAGTTTTCTTCAGCTTTTACATATTTTAATTTGTATTCAACATTTTTATATTAGTATCATCGTCTTTGTAGTCTGCATATTTTGCAAGTTTTCTTGGTGATGTTCAACTATACATACAGTTTTGAGGCCTTTGCCAGGAAACCACTCAGCAGTCTCCATTTTCAGTTCTGGTAACGATGCGAGCAAACCTGCCCACTTCTCGCGAGGATGCACCATGCTGCACCTGCCCTCGAAAAGTATTTTGTTTGATGCTAAAAAAGAACACTTCATTTTGTTCTGTGTTTCCCTTGTTATTAATGAGATGAAACTTTTACCTGGATTTTTAAGCCATCCTAGATGGTTATATTTATATTATTTTTTATTAGATATCTAGTCTGCTATTTAATTGTTTTCATAGTTAACAAGATAAGCAGACAATCAGATGTGGTGAGGCCTGTGTGTGAATACGGTCAGTGAGATTCCAGGTAGATAATGGTATCATGGTTACAGCTCTGCGCTTTGGGGTACCTGACTAACGAGCCTTCCTCAGCAACTCTGATTTGTAGCTACTCCATAGAACTGAGGAAGCAAAGGTCTTCATTTGGGGGTAGGACTGTGAGATCCCAACTTCCATGTGTAAGGTCTTCTTATTGGTGTGATCCCACCTGACCTGAAGCCTTGGTGTTATCTTTTTACCAAAGAGGGAGTGCCTTTTCCTTGAAACTGAGTATTTGTGGAAATTGTTACTGAGATCCAATTTTATGAGTAGTCAAACAAAATAGTTTGGAAGGTCATAATTCAGGGCCAGCATGTCTGTGATATCAGTGTATTGGGAAGATTTTTTTTTTTAATTTTCTTCTTTTTTGTTTCCAGAAACAACTAAATTTTACATGACAGAAATAATTATCCAGCCATCTGAGGGAAGTTTTCCTAACATACCAAGGTAAAAATAACGAATCAAGTTATTGTATAATTTGAAGTATGGAAAAAGACAGGTACAATGATTGAGAATTCATCTCTTCATAGCTCTATTTGAAAAGGGATTTTTCTGTTTAAAGTCCCTGTGAGTGGCTGGCTATTAGATGAAGCAAATCACACATGTACACAATTTGAAGACCTATTTCTTGCTTAGGTGGTGCTATAGACAAATGTGTTTCTGTTAATCTAATTGGGGCAGGGTTTTTTTCTGATCTTATATTTCATCATAGGCTTTTGAATATTAATCCCAACTTTAATACTGATTTGTTTAAAACTGGAAACAGAGAACAGTTTTATGGGCACCTACTTTTTTAAGACGGTTACTTAGCCTTTAAAGTATCAGTATTTTCTTTTACTCCTTTTGTTCACAAGCACGGGTGACCTGTAGTTTATTGTGCTGGTTAGTTTTGGCACACCCTAGAGACACATGGGAAAAGGGGACATCAATTGAGGAACTGCCTCCATCAGATTAACCTGCGGGCATATCTGTGAACATTTTCCTGACTGATGATTGTTGTGGCACTGCCCAGTGCCACCTGTGGGCAGGAGGTCATAGATTATAGAGGGAGGCAGACTGAGCAGGCCATGGGAAACAAGCCAGTAAGCAGCATTTCTTCATGGCCCCTGCTTTAGTTCCTGACTCGAGTTCCTGCCATGCTTTCCTTTGATGGTGATAATGGTTAGATTTATGTCAACTTAACACAGCTGTAATCATCAGAGAGGAGGGTGCTTTGATGGAGAAAATGCCTCTATAATACTGGACTGTAGGCAATCTTTTAGGGCATTTTCTTAATTAGTGATCGATGGAGGAGGACCTCCCCTATTGTGTGTGTGTGGTACCACCCTGAACTGCTGATCCTGGATTCTATAAGAAATCAGGCTGACTTAGGCCATTTGTTACAGTTGTGTAGCCTGATCTTCTTTTGGAACTCCTAACAATAGAAGTGGGACAGTCTTTGACTCTGTTACCTGCTTTTGGAACCCTTTCTTCTTACTGGGTTGCCTCGTCCAGCCTTAAGAGGAGAGGAGGTGCCTAGTCTTTTTGCAACTTGATAAACCATGGCTGGGGAATACACATGGGAGACCAGCCCTTTTCTGAAGAGAAAGGGAGACGAGTTGGTAGAGGAGGGGCGTGTAAGGGTGAGCTTGGGAGGAAGTAGTGGAGGGAGGGGAAAATGTGATTGACTGGGAGAATAATTAATTAATTTTTAAAAAAGAAAAAGAAATCAGGCTGAGCAAGCCACAGAAAGCAAGCCAGTAAGTAGGCAGCACCCCTCCATGGCTTTTGCATCAGCTCCTGCCTCTAGGTTCCTACCCTGTTTGAGTTCCTGTCTTGACTTGATAAACAGTGATATGGGAGTGGTCACCAAATAACCCTTTTTCTCCACGTTGCTTTGGTCATAGCGTTTTATCAGCACAATAGGAACTCTAAGTAGGACGATGACAGACTGTAAAGTGGACGCTAAAGAAACCCTTTTTCTCACTCAAGTTGGTTTTTGGCCATGGTGTTTATCACAGCAACAGAAAACAAATTATCATGTGTTAATTATTGGTACTCCAAAGTTATGACATCCTGACTGTGAACTTGAGTTTTAGCCTCATATGCGTGCTTTGATTCTGTACCTTGGAACTGTCTCTTAAGGCAGTGTAGATGGAAAAGACTGTCGCCGATACTGCCTTTGGGAGGAAATTCCTTGCCTTCTTGGCTATTTCCTGTCTGATGTGCTCTAGCCTGTGAAGCTGAGTTGTTGCTGCTTTTCAGTGCAGCACATAAGGTGCGTATGAGTGACTTGTCTCGTTGCTCTGACAAAATATCCAACAAAAGCGCCTTAGGAAGAGGTTCCTTTGGCCCACAGTTCAAGAGCACAGTGATTAATGGTCGAGAGGTAATGGTGGCAGGACCTTGAGGCAGTTGTTGGTGACACTGTTCGGGAAGCAGAGAATGACAAATTCTGGTGCTCAGCTTTCTTGCGCCTTCTTATTCAGTCCTTGGAACATGGAACAGTGCCATTCCAAGGTAAAGATTGGTCTTTCCGTTTTAATTATTCTAATAATTATTCCGTAATCTGTTGTAGACATGGCCAGAAGTTTGTCTCCTAGGTGATGTTGCATCTTGTCAAGTTGTTGGTCAATATGAATTTGTCACAGGGAAATAATTATCCTTTGGATGGAAAATATATTAATGATAATGATAGCAAGATCAGTTTTAAGAGGAATGGAACAAATACAAATGCATTCTAATTTTCCAAACCGCATGTTAGTGAAGACTCTAAAGAAATGGATGGTGCTCAGGAAAGCCTGGCACAAGCTTCTAGGTACCCATGAATCCTGACTTCCCTTGTTACTAAGAATTATGAGAGGTACACGGTGACAATTGCTTTCTGTTCCAACAGGTCTCAGTTTGTTCAGAGTGTTCTTGCCCAGTGCCTGGTGGAACTCTCCTCTGCTAGAAGCACTTTTAGATTCACGATTCAAGGTCAGGATGGCAAAGTATACATCTTGGTAAGGAAATTTTTCATCCACTTTTTTATGACCTTGTAATCCAGGGCCTCAGAAATGTTTTAGTTTTATCATTCTGTTTTCTTGCCTCTCAAGTCTAGATACTAGACTTTGACCATAAATTGAACCTTTAATATCAGTTAGTCCATAAGTCAAGCTATTTCATTTAATAACACATGACTGGGTACCTCTGTATCCTGGGTTCTGAGGATGCAGATAGAAGGAAAACTCAATTTTTGTTCTTTAAAACCTCATACCTAAAATGATACTTTTTTCTCTTGGTAATGGCCCTTCTGGACAGTGTCACATGACTCTGCATCATTCTCCTCTTTTTGTATTTGTTACTTTTAGCATTCAAATATGCTACTCCTGTTTCTGACTGCCTCTGATGGCTTGGTATTTGAGAAATAGCAAGTTTGGAGAAGAAGCTGGCATTGATGGATCTATAACCTCTGTGTGCTGCAGAGGCCAGTATCATCCCACCTTGGTTTAGAATGATGCTCTGCACAAGTAAATTTTGTTCATTTGTTTGGAAGCCTCAACAGCCTGGATTATACTCTTCTCTGTGTCTGGTTTCTTCAACTACTTAACCCATACAGAGTGCTTCTTATCTGAAAAGCACTTCTCTGGGTGTTCAAGGTCTTTAGGAAACTCACAGAGTAATATGTGTTAGCACTGTCATTGTTTGAAATCAGTATTGGTTTTCTTGGTGTGTGCATGCAAGTGTGAGGACACACATGTTTGAAGGTCAGGGGTCCATGTATAGTGTCTTTTTTTTTTTAAGATGGTCTCTCACCAAACCTGAAGCTCATCCAGTGAGCCTCAGGGATCCACCTGTCTCTGCCCACTAGTACAGAGATTACAGCCACATGCTGCCAGTCCCAGGTTTTCACATGGTCTCTGGAGATTGAACTTGGGTCCTCCTTCTTGCATGTCAAGCACTTTATTACTTGAACCATGGTCCTAGCCCTAGTTTTTGGGTATTGAAAGAATTTCTTGTAACATGAGGGCCTGCTTGTTGGGGTTACTGTCCTGCCCAGTTCCCACAGCTGATAAATCCCAAAGAAAATCACACAGAGGTCTACATAAGTTATAAACTGATTGACCCATTAGCTCAAGCTTCTTATTAACTCTTATAATTTATATTAACCCATTGTTCTTATCTATGTTAAGCACATGGCTTGGTACCTTTTTCAGCGGGGTAGGTCTCATCTTCCTTCTTCAGTGTCTGGATAGGACTGGGGAGAAATGGGCTTCCTGCTTCCCAGAATTCTCCTGTTCTCATTGACCCACCTCTACTTCCTATCTAATTGTCCCACCTATACTTCCTGCCTGGCTACTGGCCAATCAGTGTTTATTTAAAATATAATTGACAAAATATAGAATTATCCCACACCAGTTTCTAGTTGAAAATCATCTATTGGGGCTGGAGAGATGGCTCAGTGGTTAAGAGCATTGCCTGCTCTTCCAAAGGTCCTGAGTTCAATTCCCAGCAACCACATGGTGGCTCACACCCATCTGTAAAGAGGTCCGGCGCCCTCTTCTGGCCTTCAGGCATACACACAGACAGAATATTGTATACATAATAAATAAATAAATAAATAAATATTTAAAAAAAAAGAAAATCATCTATTAATTTTCTTAACATTGAAATTTTGCTTTTCTTACTTTCTATGATACGTTTTCAAAATATATTCAGACACTAGGAAGAACCTAAAGTGCTGCTTCCCCTGTCCTGTCTGCTTCTCAAGCCTAGTTATGTCATGCTTTCCAGAGGCAATCATAATGGTTTGATATGTATAATATCAAATATGAATAATAATATGTATAATACATGTATTTTCTATCCATATACAACTATTCTCAAGAATTCTTACGGGTACTTGAGTTTTTAATGAAAAACAAAGCAGGGTTACATTATTAGCATTTCAGTTTCATGAAACAGAGAGGATTGTTTCTTATAACTGTAGGTTGAATTCTGTTCTTTAATGACTAGAATTCTACTATATGGCTACTAAAGAAAATAATCATTGCACATGTGTTTGATACTTCTTTAGGAGTGGACTTTCTAACTTGATTCAGCATTAGAAAATGTGTATTTTAAGATCAGATAACTATCACCATACATAAAAGTTGTATTAATTTATCTCTTCTAGTGGACATTCTTGTGCCCCACACATCCTATCGGCCAGGCTGGTGCACCCATTCATAGCTGCCGACTGTGGAATGCCTATGGCTCACAGTTGCCCCTTCGGTAGAGATTGCCCTTGTATGACATGCTTTGCCTTGCCCAGGGAGTTCTACTGCTCTTAGTGCTTTGCTCTGTCTCTTAAGTGTAGTGCAAATACATAAATTTACCTACTGTCCTGCTAGTTACCTAGACATTGTTATTGTTCTTCTCATGCCTGCATTCTCTTGCTATTCTTTGCCTGTTGTCTCTTATATTGTTGGACCCCTCACTGATGTCTGGGATTAATAATAGCATTGCCATTTATATAGTTAATAGTTTTTCCTAATCAAGATTTTTTTGTTGTTGTTTTGGTTTGGGTTTTTGAGACAGGGTTTTTCTGCATAGCCCCGGATGTTGTGGAACTCACTCTATAGACCAGGCTGGCCATGAACTCACAGAGATCCGCCTGCCTCTGCCTCCTGAGTGCTGGGATTAAAGATGTGCACCACCACTGCCTGGCTCCTAATCAGTTTTTAAAAAGCTTATATGGCTGCTCTCCCAAATGCTCCACTGTTTATATAAAAACAAACAAACAAAATATAGCAACAATAAAATAACATCTAACCTACTATATACGTAATTATGTTTTTCTGTTACTTGTTTGGATTTCTGTAGTGGCGATATACAATATAGATAAATTAGCAATATTCTCCTCTATGAACTTCTCTTCCCATACTTTAGCTCTGGATTTTAAACTCAGACAGTTTGGTGATTGAGCCTCTGAGAAGTTCCAGGTGTGTCAGGAAGTTCCCACTGTTGGAAAATACATCGGAAGCTGACTCTCGCTCTGCCCTGAACGCCATCAAAGTCCTCTACCAGCCCTGCATCCGAAGTAGGAATGAAGAGTAAGTTGTGCTTTTGTTTTTTTCCTGTTCCACGTTGCATTTTAGCTGTGATTGCCATGTTGGCACTAAGAAACCAATGAGTTAAATGCTCCTTGCTGCTGCTGGGAGTCTCACAGCTAAATATTACGCTTTGCAAGTAAACAGAGTTATTACAGATAATTCCTACCAATGTGCAGAGACCTTTTTTTTCCTGAACCCTTTTGTTATAATCTCAGCTGTCTGTACAGATGGCTACTAGGCTAAGGCAGGCTTCCTTAGCTCAGCATTGTCTAAAGCTGTTTTTGGGCTTTCAGGGTACAGCGGTGAGTGAGCAGTCCCCACCTCTGGGTTTGCTTTGTAGCATGTGGAAGCAGACAAGAAATAAAACAACAAAAACATTAAAGGATTTCTATGACTTCTGTGTGCCCCGTGCACTTCTGAGTCCACATGAGCATCCAGCTCACTTAAGGCGAAAATGACTTTGTGAAGTAGGTGCTACCTTGACCCCAGTTTTAAAGATCAGAATTCTAGAATGTAGCAGATGAAAGTACAGAGAAGTGGAAGCAGATGAGGTAAGTGGTACTTAGGAGGTTGCAGCTCTGTACTGAGAAGCAGGAGGTTCTTCTTAACGTGGTGGCAAATGGAAACTTGGAGGGAGTGAGGAAGCGATGCAGTAGGACCTGTCTGGTGAACAACAGTCCGCAAAGAGGAGACATCAAGTATTTTAGTTGGTCAGTTGGAAGTTTATACTTGTTCTCTGCTCTCAGATGAGGCTGATGAAATGTGTGATGAGAACAGAAAGATCCCAGTGTTTTTTCTGGGTAGTAAATAAGACTTTTTAAAATTAGTTCTCGAAACAGGTCCCAGTGCCATTATTGATGGCTTCTCAGTCCGCCCCCATTGGCAGCCACATTCCGAGAGCCTGGTTTGATCACATGCTCATTCAGTCCCGGTCCAGCTGGATTTGGTGAGCTCCCATTAGAACAGGCACCCTGTCTCAGTGAGTGGACCAACCCCTCATGGTCCTGACTTCCTTGCTCATCTTCTCCCTCCTTCTGCTCTTCATCTGGACTTTGGGAGCTCAGTCCATTGCTCTGATGAGGGTTTCTGTCTCTATCTCCATCCATTGCCAGACAAAGACTCTATGGTGATATTTGAGAAAATCATCAGTGTGATTGTGGGGCAAGACCACTAGGACCTGTTTCTACTGCATGTACTGGCTTTTTGGGATCCTAGTCTATTTGGATGCACACCTTCCTAAGTCTGGATGGAGGGGTGAGGGCCTTAACTTCCCACAGGAGGGAAGGAGGAGGGAGGAGGGTGAGTGGGGGAGTGGGAGGAGAATAGGAGGAGGGGAGGAAGTGTAAATTTTTGAATGGAAAAAAATTTCTATAAAAAGAAACAAAAAAATAAAATTAGTTCTATTTTTTTAAAAAAGGTAGAAATAAACTGAAAATTGAGTGTGTATAAACCAGGAAAGTCATATTCCTCTCTGTGAGTAAAGTGGGTTGTGTAATCACTTCTCATCTGTATTCATTTTGCGTGGACATGATTTGAGTGATATGCATATGTCTTTCACACTTAGCAGAAAGAAAACCCTTTCATTGGAGGCTCTTCAATGTTACTGTATGGTATTGTATAAAACAGATAAATGGTAAATAATTTAACCATTTTTTTCATGCATGGATGTTTGTGTTGCTTTTTGCTATTGTAATTAATGTAGAATTAAATACTGTCACATAGTTGCTTGCTGATTATGTGTACTTTGTTTTAATAAGAGGGTCTGAAGAGGTGTAGCTGCTGACTTGAGAAGTATGTACATTAAGAACTTTTGATGGATAATTTCAAATCATTTTTGACACGGCAAACTTGTACTGGGACCTGGAGTTTCCTTTTTTGCCCATTTCCCTAGTTTTATCAGGACTGACATTTCAATTTTGCCCACATGATGCTAGATAAGCAATAAGATTCAGTTGTTTGTCCTTATATATTATTCAGACATGTTCAAGAACAAGAATGTGCTTCTGTGTTTTATGCATTGAGGCTCTGGGGTGGCTAATATATAGTCAGCTTTTAGGCTGCTCCTTGTCTGTGTTCTCTGTTGACGTGTGTATGTACCATTATATATTTAGATTTATGTAGTCACTTATTAAAAATCCCTTTTATTTTTATTTTTTGAAAGATAATCTTGAGAAAAATGTTTTAAATATCAATCAGTATGATTCTAGAAATCATTTTTTTTGTGGTTCTAATGTCAAGTTTTGCATTTTATGATTGAAATGTTTGTAACTAAATGCATGTTTATGGTGTGGCCATTTTACCTGGTCTCATATTTCAATAGGAGGGTTTTTCTTTTCCTTTGATGCTAATTTTGTTCCTAGTTGGTCTCATGTTGATATTGCTATATTCTATTGCATTTCTTCATTGTCACCTGTCCTGTATCATTTTATCTTAAATGTATGTTTCATTAATTTATACTTTGGAAACGACTTGTAGCTGCATGCTTCAAAGCTTCAATGAGAGTGAATGCAGCTTCGTTTTTTATTTTGTTTTGTTTGCCGTGAATGAGTGTGAGTGTGGGGTGCCATAGTAGGGCAGCATGTGAGGAGCTGGTGTTTTCCTCCTTGTTTTGAGGCAAACTCTCTCTAGTTTCTGTGGCTGTGCTGGCCAGGGAGCTATTGGATGAGTCTCTTCTCTCCACTTCCCCTATCACTAAAGGAAGGCTGGGGTTACAGATATGTCTGTAATCCCACACTGTACCATTTGTTTTCCCATGTGTTCCCAGGACCCGTCTCAAGCTGTTACCCACCGAGCTGTCTCCTTAGTGCAGTTCTCCCTGTTTCAGTGGTGGGCTTACATTTAATTTTATTGTGATTATTCACATATTTGGGCATAGTCCACCATCTTTTAGTTAGCTGCCTCTTCTCTGTGTCATTACTAGTTACTCTTCTGATTATTTGAGATGGTTTTCATGGTTAACCTAAAATTTTTAATGCTTAAGCTTAAAATATTTTTAATGTATTTTAAGCTGAAATAGCATATTTAAGCTTAAGTAGCATTTGAGCTCTTCAGTGAAATGGAGTGTCATGGCTCTCCTCTTGTTCCCTTTTCAGCTACTCCTTTTGCTGTGCTGAATTCTCATGATTAGGATCACATTTCTTCACCTGTCCAGTCAAATTTGCCCCCTTATTGCCTCTTGTGCATTAGATCCATTAACATATATATTTGTATATTTCTATAGAAATTAGAAAATTTTTGTTTCATAAATGTTCAGAAATATTATTATGCTGCACATTTTTGCAACTTCTCTTTTGTTCAGTATCCCTTGTTTTTTTTTTTTTACTTGCTAAGGCACAGTTTTTGTTTTCTTTTCTTTTTTAATTTTTAAAATTTATTTTTAATTATATGTATGGTGTTTGCAGGTAGGTGCATCATGTGTGTCTCTGTGCCCAAGGAGGCCAGAAGGGGCGGTCAGGTTCATTGGAACTGTAAAGATGGTTATGAGTAGTCTTGTGGCTGGGAGCAGAATCTAGGTCTACAGCCAGAACAGCATGCGTTCACCACTGAGCCATCTTCCCAGGGCCCGGTGCTTTGTTTCTGCTTTCGTTCTTTGAGACAGGATCACAGTCTGATACCAGGACTGGCCTAGGACTCACAGTTTAGTCCAGACTGGCCTTCAATTCTTGATGGTCTGTCTGCCTCAGCTTCTCAGTGTTAGGGACATGAGTGTGAGAAATCCCAGGCTTGATAAGTTACACTTCTAGGAGTTCTCCCACATTTGTCCTTTACGCAGTCCTTTACTGTCTGACCGTATCTTATACCTGCTCTGGCTCTCTGGGGAAAAAAAAAATTAAACATTTTTTTTAAAGAGTTTAGTTCATGTGTGTGTACACATGCCACAACATGTGAGTGGAGACCAGGGGACAACCTATGGGAATCAGTTCTCTCCCTCCGTGTCCTGGGGATTGAACGCAGGTCCACCGGCTCAGCAAGTACCCTTACTCGCTAGTATATCACAACAACCCTGGAAACGCATTAAGATCCTCTCTTTGGTTGTCTAAGATTGAATATAGGTAATATTCCAATGGGCAATTGTACACAGAATTTTGCGTGTCATGCCTCTTCCTGAGGATGTGATACCCTCTTGAGACTAATAATTATTCGTAAAACTTCCTGTTTTCTCTACATACCTTTTCTTTCTATATTAGCTCTGCTTCTTCTTCTTTTTTTTTTTTTTTTTTCAGGAAGAGAGTTTGAGTTTAGTGCCTCTTTCTCATGACTTTTTTCTTCCCATTTGCTTGAGGGCTTGATTAGCATTTCTGTGCTAGGATGGGCACTCTGGTAGTCAGGACTACCTCGGTCCTGCCCACTTTGCTTGGGAAAGAGTTCAAAGCAGTGTCTTTGTACAATAAGATGGGGGTATTGCTTTGTTTGGTAATTGCAGTTTCTCAGCTGGTGGCTGTAGATTCTTGGTACCATAGCCCGCCTTCATGGAACAGAGGGAAAATTAGGAAGGATAGACCACTAAAGATGCCAAATGTACACATATGTACACCTTGCTGTTTTCGTTTTGTTTCGTTTGTGTTTTGGACAGGGTCTCCCATAACCAAGGCTGACTTGGAGCTCACATTCTTGCTTATACCTTCTTAATGCTGAGGTTAGAGTAGGCACCACCACCTCACCCAACCCATTTTTCTTTCAATAACTTGTGAATATTAAAAATGATTAAGTTACATTGATAAATTGCATATTCACTATATGAAGGATCTTTAAACTCTTATGGAACACTACAAGAATTTAATAAACTTGAGCTGTTATTTTATACATTCTTTGTTTTAATCTTTGTATGTATGCGTGTGAGAGTGCCTGCCGTGGCACATGTGTGGAAGTCAGAGACTTGCCTTGGATGTCCTCACTGCATCATACCCTTGTTCTGAGGCGGGGTCTCCGGTTGTGTTGCCACTGCATATGCTAGGCCATCTGGCCAGCGAGCTTCTGGTAGTCTCCTGCCCCCTTCTCTC